TCGTCATGCGCTCGCATAAACTTTTTTTTTCTAAGCACGAGGAAACCGCTTGCGTTCTTTCCAACACTATCGCACATCACTGGAATGTCAACAATGTCTCCTGCGCACTTCACTGATATCCTCATCGTAGCATCTTTGCAATCTATGTGCACCGGCGTCGCGTGTCTTCGTATCCGCGCGAATTGACACTCAATTAGTAGCATATTCGCAGCACCAATGTGTGAGAGTTTCATGCAATTTGCGCTATTACATAATGCGGCAAAGTGAGCTTAATGACAAAACTCAGAGATGTAAATAGATTCGTTTAAGCGCCAAAAGTGAGAGCCAAAGTCGAGTAGCATTCTCCGTCCATCCAAGAATACGGTAGCTGAGTGGTGACGACAGGTTATTTCCAATAAAGAGCTTAAGACAAACCTTGTGAACACATCTGGATAATGTGTGCGAGCAAAAACCTTCTCGAGTTCGTCAAGCTGATAAGCACTGAATGTTGTTCGATACCTGAACAATACCACTGACTCCACTGCTGCAATTGAACCTTCGGTTTTCTACCTTCGCTGTTTTCTTTTCCCGTTCTCGTCTGGGCTCTCGCCACCATCGTCTGAGATATTCAACGAATCTCGTTGTTCGGACACAGACGGTGCCGCATCGTGCATAACTAAACACTTTGTTACAGGCAAATCCACAAAAAGCTGGGACATTAAAATTCGGACATCGGCGGAGCTACCTGGTTTCTCCTCTCTTCGCTCCTCTTTGTTGTCTGCTTTTGTCAGCGACGCGATGGCAAAGGGGCTATCAAATGGGACCGGAGGTTTCACCAACAGGGGCGAGGTAACACCAAACTGCGCCTACAAACCAAATAAATTTATACGTTGTTCAGGGGAAGAGTTGGACTCTCAGACGCGCCTGAAACTGCTCAAGCTGTTTCGCCATGTCGGGCCTCATCACCAGCTGCGCCATGTTCATGATGTTGGAAAATTCGTTGGTCTTTTGGCCGAAAATGCTCGATGGCTCGAACTTCTCAGTGGTGCCCTGCGAGACCTGCTCGGACATCAAATGAGATCTATAATGTGCTAATTAGCCGCAACACATACAACGGTCTATTATTAACGCAATACGCAAGCACGGGCGGTGAACGGAAACAATAGGATGATATGAGGTGGAGAAGTTGAAGAGGACAAGTTGACGTGAGAGTCAGACGACACGGTTCATTAGCGAACTGTATAATGAAAATATTGACTTAAACAATAACCTCTACAACTCAATATATATGGCTGTTGGGCGTCGAAATTGGCATGCAAAGTGCTTCAGCACACCATAAATCAGCACCGGCAAAGGCCTTAATCACGAGTGATATATGTACTGCGATAAAACGAATTAAGCGGTCCAACGTTGTTTTAAATATAATGCAGTGTTTTAGTGAGCTATATTTAATAGGACGCTTGAGCAGTACTTAGTTATCGCTACAGCCAACCAGACACGAACATACACGCATATATACAAATTGTATAGGTACGTCGCTTTACATGGTGCAATTATCAGCTACAGGTGTCGTACGCAGCTTCCAGCCCAGAAGTTTATCGTTCACAATTGATGAGCTGAACTTTTCAACGGATTAAATCACAGTTATTTCAA